GGGGGGGGGGGGGGGGGGGGGGGGGGGGGGGGGGGGGGGGGGGGGGGGGGGGGGGGGGGGGGGGGGGGGGGGGGGGGGGGGGGGGGGGGGGGGGGGGGGGGGTGGAGATCATGTGAGAAGATAGGCCAAACACCCAACAAGAGGAGCCACCTAACAAACATTTACAATTGCCACAAAATATCCAATTGGTGATGATAAGAAAAATAAGGGAATATCTAAATCTATCAAAAGTGAGCTAGTAGAGGCTAAGTAGTTATGGAGTTGTAGCTAGGTTTTCCTTTTAATTTTGTGTGTTTTGGTTAGGTTGGTTTGGCTTTGACTGGAGCTGGTATCCAATTTTTTGTATGCCATTCTTGCACTAGCTTATAGAGCCAAAGAAACGTACATTTTTAGTGTAGAGAAATTATAGGACAGTACAAGGAAAGTTTCAGTTAAGCTTTAGAAGCAATTTCATAAAAATCTCTTTAGCATGATTTGTGCACACCGCTTTGGTCAACGGTTAGGCAACGACATACGAGGTTTCCTACTAACTGATATAAAGCATTCTTATATGAAAAGTGATAGAAAACATTCCCAATAGATGGAGATATGCCAAATTATGTGTTTATTCATATAAGAGGTTACCATCCATGCCATCGATTTATTCATGTAAAGAGGAATGCTCCCCTCTTGATTTAAGCCATAGATGGAGATATGCCAAATGTTAAAGTAATCACAACCAGATTCAATAGGATCAAACCGTTATCTTAGGAGAATAGTTGCGAGACGTATGTAAGCTGACCTGAACACTTGTGGATATCTAAAAAAAATATCTTCCGTCCAACAACCATAAGTTTTTTCTTGCCTTTTGTCAAAATCTGGATTGTAGATGGGACAATCTCTTTAGCCTCGTTCCATTCTCGTGTTTAAATGAGCAATGTTTGTTTGAAGAATGAATGATTTACAGGTGGAAAAGGACGGAATAACATTAACGACCCAGATCCACCATTAGCAGATATTGTCCTCTTTGGGCTTTCCCTTTCGGGCTTCCCCTCAAGACTTTTAATGCATCTGCTAGAGGAAGGTTTCCACACCCTTATAAATTGTGGTTTGTTTTCCTCCCCAACCAATGTGGTGTTAGATGATAAAAGTCCCACATCGGCTAATTTAGGGAATGATCATGGGTTTATAAACAAAGAATACTCACTCCATTGGTATGAGGCTTTTTGGGGAAGCCCAAAGCTAAGCCATGAGAGCTTATGCTCAAAGTGGACAATATCATACCATTGTGGAGAGTCGTGTTCGTCTAACATGTGGAACATCACAAACATAAAGGGGCTATGTTAACTGAATTGGTTATTTACCATGCTGATTAGTTTGTTCATTGTTTTTAACATGCGTCCCATATCTCAGCTTGTATCGTCTTAATTCAGGTGGCCCAAAGGCAGCTTGTGCCGGTTGTGCTGGTTTTGCAGCATTTTCAGTCGTGATAGAGAAGTTTTTGGACAGACACACTTGAGCTGCGTCTTGTGCTCACAATTTTCTGGTAGCAAAAAGAAAAAGAATCAATGGTAGAGAAATAATAGGTAGCCCGCATTGTAACCATTCTTTTCATCACATAAATCCGAACCCCCTTTTCTATTTGGGATGTACTTTTACAATATTTTCCTCATTGTTTTAGTAACATTATTCACAATCCCATTTTGTTGGAACAAATTTGTACTCATAGAGACAGGAAATTGGACCATTTTTGCAG